GAAGGCGGAAAGAGGGGGAATTCACGGCAGTCTTGAAGTTCAAAATGCATGCAAGTGCAAGAAAATGAAAGCGGTTTGTAAATCCCTTACACAAGGGACAATATTTTTGGGAATGCGGTCCTATTTGTTAATTTTGGGCTAGCACTCAACAAAGAAAAAGATAGTGAGCAAGAATTTCGAAGCAATCCATTAGCTGAAAATGAAACTTCAAGCAAGTAAACAATGTCGGCATTGCAACCTCAAAATTTAGTCTACATATATCCATCACTCTAGTAGTCTACCTCAATTATGGTGAACTTGAAGCAGCGCACCGAAGTAACGCAGCACGGGCACACAAATATTTTAACGTTACGTTTCACACTTTACACGTCACATCAGTTGTTGTTCCACTTGCAGGACACACAGCCGAAAACGAAGCGAACCTTGATTGAGAACGGAGAGCACGTCGACATCTGAGCCTTCGACTTATACGACATCAACAGATTCGACGACTTCTATAGAGCCACCTTGGATGAGAACGGAGAGCACGTCGACATCTGAGCCTTCGACTTATACGACATCAACAGATTCGACGACTTCTATAGAGCCACCTTGGATGAGAACGGAGAGCACGTCGACATCTGAGCCTTCGACTTATACGACATCAACAGATTCGACGACTTCTATAGAGCCACCTTGGATGAGAACGGAGAGCACGTCGACATCTGAGCCTTCGACTTACGACATCAACAGATTCGACGACTTCTATAGAGCCACCTTGGATGAGAACGGAGAGCACGTCGACATCTGAGCCTTCGACTTATACGACATCAACAGATTCGACGACTTCTATAGAGCCACCTTGGATGAGAACGGAGAGCACGTCGACATCTGAGCCTTCGACTTATACATCAACAGATTCGACGACTTCTATAGAGCCACCTTGGATGAGAACGGAGAGCACGTCGACATCTGAGCCTTCGACTTATACGACATCAACAGATTCGACGACTTCTATAGAGCCACCTTGGATGAGAACGGAGAGCACGTCGACATCTGAGCCTTCGACTTCCACGACATCAACAGATTCGACGACTTCTATAGAGCCACCTTGGATGAGAACGGAGAGCACGTCGACATCTGAGCCTTCGACTTATACGACATCGGCAGAGTTCGACGACTTCTATAGAGCCACCTTGGATGAGAACGGAGAGCACGTCGACATCTGAGCCTTCGACTTATACGACATCAACAGATTCGACGACTTCTATAGAGCCACCTTGGATGAGAACGGAGAGCACGTCGACATCTGAGCCTTCGACTTATACGACATCAACAGATTCGACGACTTCTATAGAGCCACCTTGGATGAGAACGGAGAGCACGTCGACATCTGAGCCTTCGACTTATACGACATCAACAGATTCGACGACTTCTATAGAGCCACCTTGGATGAGAACGGAGAGCACGTCGACATCTGAGCCTTCGACTTATACGACATCAACAGATTCGACGACTTCTATAGAGCCACCTTGGATGAGAACGGAGAGCACGTCGACATCTGAGCCTTCGACTTCCACGACATCGAACAGATTCGACGACTTCTATAGAGCCACCTTGGATGAGAACGGAGAGCACGTCGACATCTGAGCCTTTCGACTACGACGATATCAACAGATTCGACGACTTCTATAGAGCCACCTTGGATGAGAACGGAGAGCACGTCGACATCTGAGCCTTCGACTTCCACGACATCAACAGATTCGACGACTTCTATAGAGCCACCTTGGATGAGAACGGAGAGCACGTCGACATCTGAGCCTTCGACTTCCACGACATCGAACAGATTCGACGACTCCTTCTATAGAGCCACCTTGGATGAGAACGGAGGAGTCATGCGTCGACTATCGAACTGACAGCCTGTGCGACTTCCATACTTATCTATTGCCATGTGATCGACGACTTCTGATGGAGCCACCTTGGATGAGAACGGAGAGCACGTCGACATCTGAGCCTTCGACTTATACGACATCAACAGATTCGACGACTTCTATAGAGCCACCTTGGATGAGAACGGAGAGCACGTCGACATCTGAGCCTTCGACTTATACGACATCAACAGATTCGACGACTTCTATAGAGCCACCTTGGATGAGAACGGAGAGCACGTCGACATCTGAGCCTTCGACTTATACGACATCAACAGATTCGACGACTTCTATAGAGCCACCTTGGATGAGAACGGAGAGCACGTCGACATCTGAGCCTTCGACTTATACGACATCAACAGATTCGACGACTTCTATAGTTTTCTTTTTTTTTTTTTTTTTTCTATAGAGCCACCTTGGATGAGAACGGAGAGCACGTCGACATCTGAGCCTTCGACTTATACGACATCAACAGATTCGACGACTTCTATAGAGCCACCTTGGATGAGAACGGAGAGCACGTCGACATCTGAGCCTTCGACTTTATACTACATCGGCAACAGATTCGACGACTTCTATAGAGCCACCTTGGATGAGAACGGAGAGCACGTCGACATCTGAGCCTTCGACTTATACGACATCAACAGATTCGACGACTTCTATAGAGCCACCTTGGATGAGAACGGAGAGCACGTCGACATCTGAGCCTTCGACTTATACGACATCAACAGATTCGACGACTTCTATAGAGCCACCTTGGATGAGAACGGAGAGCACGTCGACATCTGAGCCTTCGACTTATACGACATCACAGATTCGACGACTTCTATAGAGCCACCTTGGATGAGAACGGAGAGCACGTCGACATCTGAGCCTTCGACTTATACGACATCAACAGATTCGACGACTTCTATAGAGCCACCTTGGATGAGAACGGAGAGCACGTCGACATCTGAGCCTTCGACTTCCACGACATCAACAGATTCGACGACTTCTATAGAGCCACCTTGGATGAGAACGGAGAGCACGTCGACATCTGAGCCTTCGACTTATACGACATCAACAGATTCGACGACTTCTATAGAGCCACCTTGGATGAGAACGGAGAGCACGTCGACATCTGAGCCTTCGACTTATACGACATCAACAGATTCGACGACTTCTATAGAGCCACCTTGGATGAGAACGGAGAGCACGTCGACATCTGAGCCTTCGACTTATACGACATCAACAGATTCGACGACTTCTATAGAGCCACCTTGGATGAGAACGGAGAGCACGTCGACATCTGAGCCTTCGACTTATACGACATCAACAGATTCGACGACTTCTATAGAGCCACCTTGGATGAGAACGGAGAGCACGTCGACATCTGAGCCTTCGACTTATACGACATCAACAGATTCGACGACTTCTATAGAGCCACCTTGGATGAGAACGGAGAGCACGTCGACATCTGAGCCTTCGACTTATACGACATCAACAGATTCGACGACTTCTATAGAGCCACCTTGGATGAGAACGGAGAGCACGTCGACATCTGAGCCTTCGACTTATACGACATCAACAGATTCGACGACTTCTATAGAGCCACCTTGGATGAGAACGGAGAGCACGTCGACATCTGAGCCTTCGACTTATACGACATCAACAGATTCGACGACTTCTATAGAGCCACCTTGGATGAGAACGGAGAGCACGTCGACATCTGAGCCTTCGACTTCCACGACATCAACAGATTCGACGACTTCTATAGAGCCACCTTGGATGAGAACGGAGAGCACGTCGACATCTGAGCCTTCGACTTCCACGACATCAACAGATTCGACGACTTCTATAGAGCCACCTTGGATGAGAACGGAGAGCACGTCGACATCTGAGCCTTCGACTTATACGACATCAACAGATTCGACGACTTCTATAGAGCCACCTTGGATGAGAACGGAGAGCACGTCGACATCTGAGCCTTCGACTTATACGACATCAACAGATTCGACGACTTCTATAGAGCCACCTTGGATGAGAACGGAGAGCACGTCGACATCTGAGCCTTCGACTTATACGACATCAACAGATTCGACGACTTCTATAGAGCCACCTTGGATGAGAACGGAGAGCACGTCGACATCTGAGCCTTCGACTTATACGACATCAACAGATTCGACGACTTCTATAGAGCCACCTTGGATGAGAACGGAGAGCACGTCGACATCTGAGCCTTCGACTTATACGACATCAACAGATTCGACGACTTCTATAGAGCCACCTTGGATGAGAACGGAGAGCACGTCGACATCTGAGCCTTCGACTTCCACGACATCAACAGATTCGACGACTTCTATAGAGCCACCTTGGATGAGAACGGAGAGCACGTCGACATCTGAGCCTTCGACTTCCACGACATCAACAGATTCGACGACTTCTATAGAGCCACCTTGGATGAGAACGGAGAGCACGTCGACATCTGAGCCTTCGACTTCCACGACATCAACAGATTCGACGACTTCTATAGAGCCACCTTGGATGAGAACGGAGAGCACGTCGACATCTGAGCCTTCGACTTCCACGACATCAACAGATTCGACGACTTCTATAGAGCCACCTTGGATGAGAACGGAGAGCACGTCGACATCTGAGCCTTCGACTTATACGACATCAACAGATTCGACGACTTCTATAGAGCCACCTTGGATGAGAACGGAGAGCACGTCGACATCTGAGCCTTCGACTTCCACGACATCAACAGATTCGACGACTTCTATAGAGCCACCTTGGATGAGAACGGAGAGCACGTCGACATCTGAGCCTTCGACTTATACGACATCAACAGATTCGACGACTTCTATAGAGCCACCTTGGATGAGAACGGAGAGCACGTCGACATCTGAGCCTTCGACTTATACGACATCAACAGATTCGACGACTTCTATAGAGCCACCTTGGATGAGAACGGAGAGCACGTCGACATCTGAGCCTTCGACTTATACGACATCAACAGATTCGACGACTTCTATAGAGCCACCTTGGATGAGAACGGAGAGCACGTCGACATCTGAGCCTTCGACTTATACGACATCAACAGATTCGACGACTTCTATAGAGCCACCTTGGATGAGAACGGAGAGCACGTCGACATCTGAGCCTTCGACTTATACGACATCAACAGATTCGACGACTTCTATAGAGCCACCTTGGATGAGAACGGAGAGCACGTCGACATCTGAGCCTTCGACTTCCACGACATCAACAGATTCGACGACTTCTATAGAGCCACCTTGGATGAGAACGGAGAGCACGTCGACATCTGAGCCTTCGACTTATACGACATCAACAGATTCGACGACTTCTATAGAGCCACCTTGGATGAGAACGGAGAGCACGTCGACATCTGAGCCTTCGACTTATACGACATCAACAGATTCGACGACTTCTATAGAGCCACCTTGGATGAGAACGGAGAGCACGTCGACATCTGAGCCTTCGACTTATACGACATCAACAGATTCGACGACTTCTATAGAGCCACCTTGGATGAGAACGGAGAGCACGTCGACATCTGAGCCTTCGACTTATACGACATCGAACAGATTCGATGTCGTATAAGTCGAAGGCTCAGATGTCGACGTGCTCTCCGTTCTCATCCAAGGTGGCTCTATAGAAGTCGTCGAATCTGTTGATGTCGTATAAGTCGAAGGCTCAGATGTCGACGTGCTCTCCGTTCTCATCCAAGGTGGCTCTATAGAAGTCGTCGAATCTGTTGATGTCGTATAAGTCGAAGGCTCAGATGTCGACGTGCTCTCCGTTCTCATCCAAGGTGGCTCTATAGAAGTCGTCGAATCTGTTGATGTCGTATAAGTCGAAGGCTCAGATGTCGACGTGCTCTCCGTTCTCATCCAAGACGGCGCGTATAACTTTGTTGTTTCCACTTACAGTCAGATGTAGTACATAGAAATGATATAGATGAGTCTGCAGTGTCGCAACTATGCATCCTGACACTCGAGCTGCTGATATGCTTAAACGTCGTATGGACGCTCTTAGATGTGTTTTTACTGACAGTAGTCTCATCAGATTCTTAAGTCAGCAGGGAGTCGTGTGACCTCTCATAGAGTCGATACGTGACTTCGTCGTACGTGATGTAGTAAAATCAGTGTATAATGCCTGTACGACTGTCGCACGGTATGGTCAATTGGAGAGCAGCGTAATTAGTCTTGCTCGGTGTGTTTCACCTCCATGTCAATGCAGCTGATGAAGGATGGTAGTTGTGACTCCTCTGCCGCTCGGCTCGCTCGCCGGCTGTAGGACTCAAGAAGTGTCCGACGTGTCTCCTACGTTTCTAGTTTCCGATATATGAGTAGGTGTGGCATAGACTTAGAAGAGCATAGTGGACTCTGACGCGTGTTCGTTTATAATGTGCGGTGGTGTGATGTCGCAGACGGGTCTCCTTTCTGAATTTCACATAGGTGTCATCTTGGATATAGCATACAGTCTGATCGTCGTCTGGCATCAGAAGCCGATCACTTGAACGATGAATCGTTCGGCATGTATCTCTTGAACGAAAATTGTAATTGGAGGTCTCCAAAGTTTGGGGAATCCATGTCGTTCACATTCCCTCGTGCACTGATTATCGCAGACGAAATGAGGATGGAAGGGTAACCGCCAATTCCTGCTGGCTAAAAAGTGATTCTAAATATGAAAGCCTCCATTCATTCTCAGATCTTAATCTAGTACGTTCACGAGGACGAAAGTAGTTCATAGTCTAGTCTGACTTTTAAAGATAGACGTCTCGTTCTTCTCATTCGAAGTGTTGTAGACGCTCAGTAAGAGGTCGATAGAGCGCTCTACGCGATGGTCTGTTGCGAACTCGGTGGAGAAGCCTCAAGGCTGCGTCGACTAGTGATCTACCTACGGTAAGATGGTGGCCAGTGGGCACGGATAGCAGAAAAAACCTAACAGAGACGGTGTCTCCTAATAACTAGGAGGTGCGCTCTGTTATTAGAGCCTCCGTATATACTGTATAATGACTTATGATTGTGCGTTATTAGAGGATAAAAGTCGAATGCTCAAGTGTATGAGTCAGTAATTCATTGAGCATGTTACGGATTTGCTCACCCTAAGGTGGCTCCTATTAGAAGTGCGGCGGAAGGTGGCTGGTTGTAATCATTTTCTCGTATAGAAAGTAGGAAGTTGGAGTGTTTCTCACGCGTTCTCAATCCGTTCATCAGCGACTCAGGCAAATTGGCGTACTAAGTAGCATAAGGTGGCTGTAAAGTCGTCGAATCTGTTGATGTCGTATAAGTCGTAGGCTCAGATGTCGACGTGCTCTCCGTTCTCATCCAAGGTGGCTCTATAGAAGTCGTCGAATCTGTTGATGTCGTATAAGTCGAAGGCTCAGATGTCGACGTGCTCTCCGTTCTCATCCAAGGTGGCTCTATAGAAGTCGTCGAATCTGTTGATGTCGTATAAGTCGAAGGCTCAGATGTCGACGTGCTCTCCGTTCTCATCCAAGGTGGCTCTATAGAAGTCGTCGAATCTGTTGATGTCGTATAAGTCGAAGGCTCAGATGTCGACGTGCTCTCCGTTCTCATCCAAGGTGGCTCTATAGAAGTCGTCGAATCTGTTGATGTCGTATAAGTCGAAGGCTCAGATGTCGACGTGCTCTCCGTTCTCATCCAAGGTGGCTCTATAGAAGTCGTCGAATCTGTTGATGTCGTATAAGTCGAAGGCTCAGATGTCGACGTGCTCTCCGTTCTCATCCAAGGTGGCTCTATAGAAGTCGTCGAATCTGTTGATGTCGTATAAGTCGAAGGCTCAGATGTCGACGTGCTCTCCGTTCTCATCCAAGGTGGCTCTATAGAAGTCGTCGAATCTGTTGATGTCGTATAAGTCGAAGGCTCAGATGTCGACGTGCTCTCCCTTCTCATCCAAGGTGGTTCGCTTCGTTTCGCTCTGTGTCCTGCAAGTGGAACAACGACTGATGTGACGTGTAAAGTGTGAACGTAACGTTAAATATTTGTGTGCCCGTGCTGCGTTACTTCGGTGCGCTGCTTCAAGTTCACCATAATTGAGGTAGACTACTAGAGTGATGGATATATGTAGACTAAATTTTGAGGTTGCAATGCCGACATTGTTTACTTGCTTGAAGTTTCATTTTCAGCTCATGGATTGCTTCGAAATTCTTGCTCACTATCTTTTTCTTTGTTGAGTGCTTGCCCAAAATTAACAAATAGGACCGCATTCCCAAAAATATTGTCTCTTGTGTAAGGGATTTACAAACCGCATTCATTTTCTTGCACTTGCATGCATTTTGAACTTCAAGACTGCCGTGAATTCCCCCTCATTCCGCCTTCCGATCAGTGCACTTTGAAGGAGCTATCGCGGCTTTGTAGTTACCATGCCATACTAACTCGCCAGGTTCGAAGGAATCTTTCATTTTGTCAAAGCATAATTGTTTGCCTCGTGGCAAGTTGACACTCTATGCGTCCTTATTCATTATCAGTCTTTTTGAATCACTTTCAAAGAGCATATCGCAAACTCTGCATACATACACCTTCAGCATAGAGGGACAATGAGCCTCGGCGATCAATTTACCACCTGCTGGACGTTTTGCATGAGCAAAATCCATCAACTGCGAGGTCGTCGCCTTGAGCGGAAGCGTCACAGCAGCCTAATTAAATAGCTAGTGAGTTGAGAATAGCATCCAAAAAAGGGCACGCACTTTTACCTGAGAGTGTGGCATGGCGGCGAGCCGCCTGGGCATTAAGAAATTTCACATAAGTGACCGAAATGAGAGCTATGTAGATATGGCTGTTTTCCACCTCTGAAACTGGCCAAATGCTATAGACGTACATATTGGGCATCAGTGGGAGGGCTGATTTTGAAGCATACAATTTCCATTACCCTCATAATTTTTCGATTTTGGATTTTTCCATATGATGAGTGGCGTTTTCGCACGCCCTTTAAGCAAACCTTCTACACCTGACGAAAAGACATAGTGGGAAAGCACTAGTAGCAACTAGAGAATCTGGCCATGGCATCGCACCCAGCAAGTGTGGCACGCAAAGTTATGTTTAACACACCCCAAGTGCGGCGCGCAAAGTTATGTTTAACAATGTTGTTGGCCAACGATCCTCGAGATATTAATGATGAAATAGCCATCAAAATCAAATCAAAATGCTCATCGCACTCTGTCATTGAATATCCACTATGGAAGGCAGGCAAGCTCTGGCAGTCGCCTAACTTCTGATGGCAGTAAAATCAGACTAGAAGCATGTTGTAATTCGAATTCTTAATTTGTTGCTTCTGGCTTTTCGGGTCTTTGTGCCATTAATGGCCGCGGATCGCAAGAAAGAGTTTATCTAGAGTTTTTTTTTGAAGCACTCAACAAATGTGTTGGACATGAATCTGCTGCTAACACTACGGAATCTGTAAACAGCACGAAACCATAGAACTCAAGATTCTGGAAGTCCGAGAGAAGGAAGATGCATGTGGATGAGTTGATAAGTGGAAAGATTCCTGTCTCATGAGACGGGATTACAAGCAACCTCTACCAATTCTCTCCTACTACGACTCTCTATTCCTTCTTATGTTTACGCATGTTTTATTCTAGCGGATTCTCCTTCTTCCAAACCGTGCAAATTGGATAATGAATTCTGTAACTCTGCAAGAAGAAGAAAAGAAGAAGAAAACAGCCTTGCTCAGGGTTAGGTTGAGCTGACTAGCTGTTGTTACCTTATTTAGTGCAGATTTCCCGCCTCAAAAATTCGATCATGTTTTGGTTGAATTATAATAACCTGAACCTGCAATACTGCCGATTCCATGTTCAAGAAGGCAGCAGGTAGCGCAAACCAAAGAACACAGTGATAGCTAATCTTGAGGGAAACATCGTTCCCTATTTGTTTGTTCGATAGAAATTACATCCACTTACCAAACTCGGCGATTCTGTGAGCCACACTGCCCCTGTTATCCTTGCCAATCACTTTATGTATAGAATGATTGTAATATAGGCTGACGTATTCTGCAGACATCGTGTGGGATACAACCATTGTTTTTCCTTGATGAGCTAGCTTTTCTTTGACAAACTCATTTATATCATTCATGTCGCTTGGATCTTCCCTAAAAAAGTAGTTCTCAATAGAATATATGTACTTGCAGAAAAGAACCCGTGGGAACGGCTTCAGACTCCTACGTTACCTAAACATTAACCTATTGCGGGCTACGTATGCATCTCCGTAGATCTTCATGGTTTATCAGAAGACAATGATGTAGCAGTAATTTATCGGTATCAAATATGTGTGTATATCATTTTCTATGCTCGTAAAAGCTTATGAATTTTTCATTAAAGAAAGAGTAGGTAACAAATGGTAAATAATGTGTCAGTTGTGATTACTAGAGACACGTCAAGGTTTCAAACAAAAAGTCTAGTCTTCTGAGAGGAACAGAATTGTAAATCGCACTGTGTGGACGGTTGAGAGCAGGTCGGGCAGGAACGAGGGAGCGCATGGAAAGAAGTGCGTCTCGCAGCGGCCACGTATCAGACGACGCCTTGGAAGAATTGGGTTAAATACGAATTCGGAGGATAGAGACAAAACGATCGATAGAATAGGATACAACAGAAGCGAGAAATGTTACTGCCATATGTGGAAAAGGAGAAAAAAGTAAACAGTGAAGGCACTCCAAAACAAGGTGGAATTGTTCCCGCCGCCAACACTGGCGAAAAGTTTACGTTGAGAACTTGATCGAAGCAGTGCTTTAGGTATTTTGGATGATGGATCTTATGCAGGTGACTTATGAGTGGGACAGAATCATGGTTTTTCCGTGCACAATTCCTTTAACCATGTGCGTACTCAATGCAGGAGGGGTACCGTCAGCAAATTCGATTATAGGTCACTGTACTGGGACATTGCTATGGAAATGGCGGCAAACTTATCGTTTACAGAAAGATGGCACCAAACTTTATGGAGGTTGGGCTTTTACAATGTATGTTTTATAATGTACCAGTTTGGCTAGACGCATTAACTTGCGTGCGTTTCGCAAGGTTCCAGCGATATCAAGCAGAGCAATTAAAATTTCAACACCGCTCCACCCACACCCAGTGTATACTCTCCTCATCATCATGCTTATGCTCTACCCTCACTAGCATTTCTTGAACGTTACCTACCGATTTTCCCAATCTCTGATGTAATTTTGAACCGCTTTGTGAATTTTTGTGATAAACACCGTTCGCCCAGAACAGCTGTTTTCCTTCTTCCATCAGCTTGTTGTTCATCGCAACCCTTTTTTGGGGTACTTGGGCTGTTCTTCGACCAAAATATTTTTTCGCTTTCAGAAGCCTATTTCAATGCACTCCCCGCCCATAGTGGACACGCCTAGTTTAATCTTCAAGTGATGACGAATCTAGTGGCACACACACAATAATGAAGGAAAATTAAAAGTAAAGTAGTAAACAACAACAGTATAACGATTAGTTGGCAATATGGGACGGAGCAACCAAAGCTCTCACATTGGAGTCCACCATTAACATCTAACCATCCCTACTTCGTAAGCACTTGCCAACTTCTTCCCGAACTTTGGGCAGTCTAGTAATCGATTGATGAGGCAGCGAACTTTGACCCTTTCCTAAGCTCACTGCTCTCTGGAAAGCGTGGCTTCAAACAGCAGAAGTAGCAATGTTTCACACATCTTGGCTTCCGTATTACAGGTCCCAAACTTAAACTTGAGTTTTGATTAGATTCCTTGCACACACACAGACATACTTAGCCGCATAATACAACAATATGTAATGTAGAAGTGTAGTAGTATAGTAGTGACCATAAACTAACAATGTG